CAGTCATTCCCGCATGATAAATTGCAGAAAAGTTGCGAGATGACGAATGTCAGCATTTTCATCTGCAGTCGAACAGGATTACCCCGCCTCATTGTTAACGCCAGACCGAGCCTGTCGGTATCCCTGCTGCAATGCTCATTCCAACCTTCCCTCTCTTCATCCCTCATAAAAAAGGTGTGAGGAGCACTTAGCTCTGTAGAGTCAACTTTAAAATCAGTGACCGGTCAACTTCTCCAAGCTTTTGTTACACCATTCCATTCGCTCTAATACCATGTCTAAGTTGGAAATCGCCTCCACAGTGGGAACATGGGTCGCTGCCTTTCTCGCTCTTCTAGCCCTGGGGGTCTTTGTCGGACCGTTCTTCATATGGAGGGCAAGCCAAACCGAACGTCATCAAGCACTAAACAGAGTGGAGGCAGGAGAGGCCGAGAGTGGTGGATTCATCTCCAAGGGCCTACGAGTCTCCCCAAACATTCGCCTCTTTCGACGCGTACGCGCCCCTGAACTCGGAAAAGAGCCCGAACTCACAGGCCAAAAACTTGTCCTGGATGAGAATGCTCGACTCGTATCGCAGAGCTCGGTAGGCTGGGTCCAGTTTTCTCTTCTGATCAAAGCACATGGCATTGATATGAGTCTTAACGGCCGTCTCGAAATTGATGAGCAGAGGACTTGGTTGCCCTTACACAGAAACTGGATTCTGATACTCGGAATTGCTGGAAGATTTGCGATACGCTCAGACGAGGGCAAGTTACGGCCTCAGTTGAAGGGAAGAGCGAAATCGGTCCAAAGAATGCCAGGTCGGGATGCCAGAAAAGACACGGCCAGATTTAAAAAGAAAGGCAACCACTTTTATTATCATACCCCACGGCATTATAATTACATTACCGACGAAGCCGGAGATGAGTTCTCCCCTCTCCTTGGCATTTCCGGGATATTGTGGACCATGCGCAATTCATCGGACAGCTCTCGTCAGAAGGTCTACTATCAGCATCATACGGCAGAGGAATCTGGAAGCCCAACTTCTGACATGCTAAGTATCCAAACCTTATTCTGGCTGGCTGTCGGTTGTCTTCCACGTGCAAATGGAGATCTTTACAGCCTCGAAAATTGCATCCTTTACCAAGAGTTAGAGGAGGAGACCGGGAACCCAGACCCAAACTACCGGGGCGAGAGCACAAGCACACACCAAATCCATTTCGAAGACGACGATGATTATGAGATGTTGGACGTGGATGCTGCACCGTATCGCAGAGCTAGCTCATATACCATTTCAGCTGAGCCAAAACCTCAAGACCGCCGTACGAGTGCCGGAGATCCGAGAGTATTTCGGTTTAGTGGTGTCAAAGAAAGAGTCGAGGAACTTGCTAGAGTTGCCAGCAGCCTTGAGCAGTCTGACCAGCCCGGGGATGTCTTTTCACTGGAAGAGATTGACATCCCAGACGACGTTGCGAGACAGCTCAAGGAGTCTCTGGGCGGGACATACCACCCCATCTCCAGTAACTTTGTCCGGCTCGGAAAATCAGGCAGACATGAGGACTATGGCAAAGGCTCGCCACTGTTTCTGGAACGATCTTCATCGCAACTGCTAGCTAAAGGCGTACTCGACATAGCCCTCTCACCGGATGGCTATCTTGTTGGATTTGCTAAAGACTCGTGGTGCCGCGCTACCCTGTGTAATGCTGCACAACTCCTGCCACACCTACTTACACGAGTCTGCAACGACTTAGACCACTTGCAGGTCCCTGAAAGCTCAAAAGCCAGCTTCATTACTACTGCCGATAAATTGCTTGTCATGTGTCTCAATTATCGGCCTACGAGATCATTTTATCAGACCATCTACGGTCTGGATGTCATCATTCAAGAGATCTTACCTCTCAATGCAAAGACAATGGCTGCTGTGGGAGTTGTTACGATCACCAGCGCCGAGTTTCGCGACTTCCTTACGAGTGTTGTTCGGATGATCCCAGAATCGACAGGGAAGTCGGTGATACTAGACTTGGGGTCAGCTTCAACTCTCAATGTACCATCTGTGATGGGAGTCATACAAAAATACCCTGTAGATATTACACAAATCTTCCCAGGGGAGAACATCAGTATTGAGGCTGTGGAAATCAGATTTCAACACCTCATCTTCGCCGCCCTGAAAGCATGTCTCCGAAGCACGGCCCTAGAGACTAGTCTGGACTCGACCCCACTGTTTGAGGCCTTTCTGCAGATGAATGACGTTGTCCATATGGGTTGAGAATACAATCTGGGTCTTTCCTACTTATTTTTTACTTTACTATGTTTCATTACGAATGCCTCAACTCCGCATGTTCTCATTCGACTCTGGTTGTAGTCAGATTGTCAGGTCACTCAATTTCTTCTACTCACAAGCGTTTGTGTATATACATGACACTGTACAGCTGCTGCGGGTGCATTGTGTGAATAAATAAACTACCTTGTCAATAACCCAAATACTGCCTCGGGCTAAGAATGGGCAGATGATGGCTCTGGTAGGATCAGAAGCTCCAGGAGGAGGGGATCCGTTTAGTCTGAGTGCTGGGTGTTGCTAGGAGAACACGTTTCCATAGAGTGTAGTTTGTTGAGGGGATATTTCAAAAGAGTCGACGTGTGCTGGGTTGGAGTGGCCTCATTCCACCCCAATGAAATACCAAGCTCCAAAGCTGACCCAGCAGCAAATGACATCCCAGCCAACACTGCTCACAGCTGGGTGCTCATAGAGTGTTTGAATGACGATGGTCATACCCTTATCTATGCCAACAATGCCCCTGAAAGCGGCTGCCAACACCCAGGCCATAGACGCCAGCTTAAAGAACCAGGTCGGATCGCCAAGCATATGCGCCGGCAGGATGCCTTTCAGAACCAATGGCGCGAATGCCAGTAGATGAGGTCCCAGAAGCAAGGCGAGAAAGCCAGGCGATCCTGTAGCAGAAGGAATTGATGTGGCCCAGAGCAGGTTGAAAGCAAGAACCACCGTGTACCAGGACATTGATGATGAGCCCGGCACGGCCTTCCGAGTTGCGCCACGCCCTTTACCGTCTTTAGATGATGGCCGATTGGAAGCATTGCTGCAAAGTATGGCGAGAAAAGACAGGTTGGCTGCAAAAGATATGGCTACCACCTGGCCGAGCAAGACGAATATCCAAGCTTGCGGAATTTTCCTCTTCTGGGCTGACCACGCAAAGTTAGCACATCCTATCATCTGGCCGCCATCACCATCTGACATGACCACCATTGGAAAAGCTCACCTTGAACAGCAAGAAGAACACTCCAGTTTGCGCAAAATCCGAAAATCTGCAAAGACCACCATGCCCTCGGCCCCGTCTCCAGAGTCGATGCCCACGCCTGCTTGAACAGCGACGTGTCCCTCAGCCATTCACCCAGCCTGAGCCCCTGCTCGCCACCAGTAACCCCGACTCCTGCAAAAACATGCGAGATTGCCCATTGCTGATATGACCACTCGAAAAATTGAAACATGTGATACCAAGTTGTGGCGAGACTCACGACGGCAAGAATGCCGAAAACAGGAACGGCGCGGCGCCGGGCGGAGCGGCCGGGATCATCTTGTGCAGAGCTTGCAAGGCTGCTCTTGCGCTGGCTGCGAATGATAGCGATGGACTTGATGGTAAGGGCGGCAGCCAGGACCATGTAGCCTGTAAAGATGGCCCAAGGTCGAAAGTTGGAAACAGCCATCGTACTGTTGGCTGACAATTCTGTGTCAGCCAAAAAGACACATCGATTGCTCTGTGCCTTTTTTATGATTCTGTGCCGAAAATCCCAATCCTTGAGGGGTGCCACATCAAACAAGGACCCCCGCTGTTTGATTACTAGCACTACCTAGCTCAGTTAGTCTCATGTAAGCGACCGTCGAAGTCTTTCTATTCTTTCCAGCGCTCGTTGCCAAGTAAAATCACCTGGACTTTCACACATCGATCCCCAAGGCAAGACTCGGGATGAACGTTTGACAGGCTATTTGGTATATCATCCAATAATTAGCGCGTTTACTGCCGATAGCTGTCTCGTTGTGGTACATGGGCCGATCAAACATTGCCCCAGTCAGACGGCTCTCATTTGGAAATAGTCTGGCTGATTGCTCTGAACATGTCAATGCACTGGTGTAAATTCTCTCTTCATATGATGTCAATGAACGACACCCTCCAATAAAGGCCGTCACCGAGTGTCCCGGGGCCTTGGAGGTTCCCGGGGATTAAGGTGTGGTTAGTGGGGGCGACGGGAGAGAACCTTTGGGCGCGACAAAACCCGCCGGTCGAGTCGGCGCAACTTTCTATCCGATGAAACGAACACGAGAGAGGTACAAAGCGTGACAAGAAAATCAGAGCCTGCCAATTCAAAATTTGGGATGCTTGAAAGGTGGACTTTCATTGATAGAAGTTGGCTGCCATCATCGAGCTCAGCTTTTTGATATCGACACCTAAGCAACCTCAATCATAACGGCTTTCTTCGACGCGACTCATGTCTCAGCACATGTCTGGTGCCTCCCTATGGAACGGGAGCCCAACGTGTGGACAGGGATGATAATTGTGTGGGCGAGGAGTGGAATTGAGCCGATCCGAGTGGCCTCGACCTCGACTCACGCACCTGTGGAGGGACCGTATCCACTGAAGAAGCGCACACATTCATGAGCCTTGCGCTCTTCTGACCCGTTCTGGGGGGGAATTCCATGTCAGTCAAGGAGGCGGACTGGACACGCCGAATTGATGTGCATAAATGAAATTGCGTTTCCGGATGTCGTAGCTTGGCGTTGACGGGTGGGATGAAAACGCGGTGAATTTCGCAAACTTAGTGCTGAACATTCAGTTGAATCGTCCGTACAGAGCTGTCAAGCTTGTTTCGCGACTTTTGAGCCTGGCAAAGTTTGCAGACCGAAACCGAGGTTGGGGGTCGACTCCACGCAGAGAAGACCTGACCAACCGCTGAGCCCACCGGAAATAGCATGCCCCCCAGATCGTGAGGCCTTCTGCTTCCTTCGCTGCAACATGGATCGAGAGGCTCCTCAACGGGTAGCCGTTGTTGGAACCGGCCTCGCTGGTCTCACAGCCGCGTATCTTCTTCAGAATGATGAAGAGCAACGGTATGCTGTCACATTGTTCGAACAGGTAAGAGGCGTCGCGCATGAGATCGTCGCGTCGAGAGCTGAACGCCCCTAGGCCGAGAGTCTCTCATTCGACTCAGCATCGGTTGCGATTCGAGATGAAAAATCCGGCAACATCGAGCGGATTGATTTGCCCATGCGCGCACTTGCGGGAGGCTACTACGCCAACGTGATGCGCATGTACGACCATCTAGGCATCCCATATCATCCGATTCGATTTTTGTTCTCATTTGCCAAAGCGTTGCCAGGTCGAAAGGTTGAGGGGACACCTGCGAAGGCTAAAGAGGGGGCGGGCAGAGCGCCTGGAGAGTACTTCGTCCATGCTTCGAATCTGCATCAAGTTCCCCCGTGGCCTGGGAATCGCGGGGTCATCGCGCATTTTGTCGAGATTTTGTACCTGATCATATGCCAGTTCTGGTTCACGGCTGCGTGTTTTTGGGTGCACCCAAGGACGGAGGGCTCTGACGGAGGAGAATCATTGGAGGAGTATCTTGAGAGAATCTGGCTCCCGCGCCGGTACACGACACATTACCTACTTCCACTAATCAGCAGCGTGTCCACATGTACTCACGCCGAGATGCTGGCGTTCCCAGCAAGCGATGTGGTCAACTATAAGAAGAAGTCACACGGTGAACAACACTACACTGTTTGCGGAGGCGTCCATCAGGTGGAATCAAGGCTGGCGGAGGAGATGAAGGAAGTGAGGTTGGGAGCTCGCGTGACGCAGGTGACGACAATCGCCGACGGGAGAGTAAAGATCCACTGGCAATCGACACGCGACGGGGGAGTGTCAACAATGGAGGAGGATTTTGACCGGGTGGTTCTTGCCGTCTCACCAGACGTGGCCGCGAGGATTTTCACACCGCTGCGGAAGACTCTCGACAAGATTCCGACAATCCGCGTGGAAAGCTCTATCCTGCGCCCAGCCAATTCAAATGCGACCGACATTTTCTCTGTTATCGACGATGAGACGAGTCATCCGAAGGCCTGCGCCCATCACCAAGGAAGCAGCATGCCGTCCCAAGTCATCTGCCTGCGAACCGACTTCGGACGGGAGACGAGGACTGAGGCTTTGCATACCATGCCTGGAGGAACGGTGGTGAGCACTTGCCCGCTGGATCCTGCGGCTGAGGCGAAGAGGGTGCTCCGAACGGCCAGGTTTACGCGAACATTGAGGACAACGCAGAGCCGAGCTGTGGTTCAGCGGATCATTCGTGGCAGCGGGACAGTGGACAAGAAGACGGATAAGGATGCGAATGAGATCGGATGGAAGAATGGAGAAGACAATGTTTGGGTGACTGGAGCCTGGTGTTGGGACGGTATGGTCCTGCTTGAGGGATGTCTCATCTCTGCCATGAGAATAGCGGATGACTTCGGTGTGAATGTGCCTTGGCGGGGTGATGGAGCGAGGAGATGACGGGGTTGGAAAACACAACATAGCTGGATTTAAGTACGATGAAAAAGGTGACGTTAAAATACGCGTCTGTTGGAACCAACAAACATTCCTTCGAACCAGGGACTTTGGCCCCCAGAGCAACGCCGGAGTTCCGAACCCTGTTCGACACTGGAATTGTGGAAAATCAAGTGGGTCTTGGCACCACGTGATCGAATCCTTCAGGCGCTGTGTTCATTTGTATTTGTGAGCGACCGGTGATATTTTCACATATTTACCTCCAGACCTCTGCCACCGCCATCTTCAGCATGTCAACAAATACCGCTGGAATGTTTCTTTAGAGATATGTCTTCCAACCCAGCGCCTTATTCAGACTTTTGGTCAGGTGCACTTTTCGGTTTCATGGCCGGTGTGGGTGCCATCATATTTATCGCATCACTCGTCGCTGTGAAATTCTTTCAGAGGAATGACATCTACGATGTCGACCACTGGAAGCTCAATGTCAAAGTCCCTTTCACCACCACGTGGATGAACATGGGCTATTGGTAGGCCATCTCCGGTTTTTTTAGCCTCATTCTTTATTATTTTATTGCATTTCACAGTTATGTAGAATATTTCTCCCCCCGTCTTCACGCCACTTACAGCACTACAGGACAACGGCAGATGGTCAGCCTATCCACGACTTTGAGTTGGCCTGCCAATCTCTTCTCCATCAAGTTCTGATGGCATCCGGTCTTCTTAATAAAGATAATACCCCTTCCAAGCTGGCCATTCTCGACCTCGGTATCGGCTGCGGCGACCAGTCCCTGGAGCTTGCGCGGCTCATCAACGAAAGCGCCTGGAATGAGTATGAGTACGTGGGGCTTACTCTCAATGAAACTCAGTTCCGACTAGCCGCACAACAGCCATTCGCCAAGTTCCAAAAACCGAATTCCCCTTCCAGATCCATACAAGTGTTTCAAGCCGATGCGGCAAGGCCCGACAAGTGGTCGCTAGACATAAAGGCCGCCATCGGGACTCTTAGGGACAGTAGGCATGGAGATTGTGAGAGATGGGTTCTTGGTCTCGACAGCTTGTATCACTTCTATCCATCGAGGATACCAATCTTGACCTTTGCGGCAAGAGATCTTGATGCCTCTTTCATGGCGTTCGACTTGACCTTGAATAGGAACGCGTCACTCCTGAATCGCTTATGGGTCAAACTCATCAGCATAGCAATGAAATGCCCAATTGGCACGTTCATGACAGAGGCAGAATACAGGACCCAGCTCGTGGAGGCCGGATATGATGAGCGAGAGATTCGGATGCAAGACGTTACACGTCATGTGTTCTCGGGGCTTGTCAATCACATCAATAGACAGGAAGCCATTCTCAAGCCGTATGGAATTTCTCTAGCCAAGTACAAGGTGGCAGGGAAGCTGTTTGGATGGCTTGAAAGGTCGCAAGCCTTGAAGGCTACTATCGTTGTTGCGCTGAGAAAGTCGAAGACAAGTTGAGACATTTCAGAACCACTATGTTTCGACGATGCGCGTTTGATACACAACACGCTGTCCACTGCCTTATCGATGCGTTCAGCCTGGCGCATGGTTGAAGTTGTGAGGACGCTTCTCGCAGGTTGAACTGAAGCACCGCAACAGATGCCAAAGTGGGACTTTCAGAAAATTGGGATCAACGGGTCCTCATGCGGGATGTTCCTCTGGGAACAGCGGTTTCATTGAGAATGGGAAGAAACTTATTGTTTAGTATTCTACTGTTTGACATAAGCGGTTTCCTGTTGGAAGATCTGCAGCGAGACTCGGATGACATTCATGTTCATGAAGATCGGGACCGCCCAACCATCCCATGATGATTAGCATAATCAGAGGGAACTGGTTAAGTATAGTTTTAGTATAGAAAATACGATCAACAGAGAGAAGTCATGTCCCTGGGAGTGAACTAAAAAGAACAAAGACACTACTTCGAAAAGAAATGGCTCATTTTCAACGTACTGATTTATGTCTGGGTTTTCGTGCATGTATGGCAACTACCTATGCGAACAGGCACGAATCATCGTCCCGATGATGCGAAAAAGCTTGTTGATGATGGCTTCAGTTGCACAACGCATGCATAAATTGCACAAATCCGCCAACATCCACGAGATGTGCGATTACTCATGGTCAGATCTTCAGTAGTGAACACATTCCGGAGAATGGGGAGAAACAACTTCTGGTTGGTGCCTAGCGCCAAGGTGCTGACAACGCCACCGTCCCTTAGCGCCTTTTCAGTTGAGGTCCGTTCGCGAACATCAACCTCATCTGACATCTCGCATCGTCACGTCGCATCGGCAGCGTCATCTTCAACACAGTGATTGCGCCATAACATTCATCGACATGCCGCCGACACACATCAAAAGATCCAACGACCTCTCTATCCAGCTTGTCAACCCTGCAACGCCGCTGTACCCAGGGAGCGTCGTCCTAGGCCACATCGTCCGCAAGTCTCACATCGTCGCACCAAACGCCACCATCCGTGTCCGCCTCCTCGGCCGTGCCAAAGCAAAACTCGTGATCGACCGTGGAAACAACTCAAAAAGCTACTACCGCTCCCGCTTCAACTTCTGGCGCGAGGGAGCCATCGCCGACGTCGTCCATCATGGACCGATACACGTCGCCCAAGGCGCAGGAGAAGAGCAATCATGGCCTTTTGCGTTGGCACTTCCGACTCACACCGATGCCGCCGCCGTAAATGCGGGGTTATCTGAGAATGAGAGGGCCGCGTGCTTCTTGCATGCGCCCGGTGATCCACAAGGAAAGCTGGGTGTGCCGGAGCAGCCTCTGCCAGGAAGCTTCTTTTTTGAACACTCCGGGTTCGGCAAGAGTTGGCATGGATTTGTTGAGTACTGGCTCGAAGCCGAGTTGCGAGTTGAGGGGAAGAGCAAGATCATTGAGGCCACGATGCCACTGAGAGTGTGGTCGGTACCATCGCCGTCGCCGCCGATGACAGATTTTGGCTTGACAGGAAGAATGATGAACGGACTCGTCTCGACGCAGCGACTGATTCCCGGGATGGAAGATGCGAAACTGAGTTTCAAGCAGAAGTCGCAAAAGTTCTTTGGGTCTTCGAAGGTGCCAAATTTCCATTTTTCAATGAGAGTCGATTACCCCACGCAAATACAGCTCGGGAACCCGTACACGATACCTTTCAGATTACATATCACACCAAACCGAGAGAAGAGCTCCGAAGTCATCCAAGATGTCCCTCAAAAGGCTTATGTCAAGAGCGCTGTGCTAGAGATGCACAGCACAGTTGTTGTCATCTGCCCGGGAACGTTCGACTCGCATGAAGGCAGCAAGACAAGGAAAGTGTGCATCGGCAGGACCAATAAGTTTGTCAACGAGGTTGATGGGTTTGAAGTCCCTTGCGCTCCCAAGGAGGACGTACTGGATCTTGGGGCAGTCTTGGGTCTGCAGATCGATGCCAAGGGTTCGGTTGTTGGCGCCTCGAAATTCGGCGGCGGGACACTCGAGACCATGTCACCAACGTACACGACATACTGCGTGAGACTATCTCACGTGTTGCACTGGGAGGTGAAGGTCTCCATCGGGGGTGAATCATGGGAGTGCGGATGGCAGAACAGAATCGCTGTGCATCCTCCGGTCGAAGAAGCGCTGAGCGGGGGTGCTGGAGCGGCGTCGGCAGGTTTGGCGACGTTGTCATTAGAACCGCCTCCACCACCAGTTGACGAAGCAGTCCCAGCCTATGAAGGTCCGAGTACGGCGGCGCCAGCATACGAAAAAGTAGCAGGAGGTCAGCCATCGAATGAGGTCAATGGTAATGGGGAGGGATCATCAGCTGTTGGCGGCGACATGAAGTCGTGACGGCGGAGCAGATAGGAGTAAGCGAAATACGGACTTATATTAAGAAGCAGTGAGCACAAGATCTAATGGCAAGGTGGCAGTAAGACTAGCGAAGCGGCAATTGATGTATTTGGGTACAATGATGTAAGAAGATGAAGAGTACCCCTGACATTGAAGTCGGAGGTTCTCAAGACAGCAGACGACTGATGCGAGGCCCCTAATATGAACATGAATAGAACAGTATATCATCTCGAAGTCAACTCATGACTTTGTGCGTCTTAGAGCGCGTCTCCAGTGGCAAGTCGGCTTCGGCGCGATCATCTAAGTACAATCAACCTACTTCCGCCCGCTCAGTTGGGTCTGCAATTAGAGCAAACGGCCCTGTAGCATCCCTCAATCATATACCTCTCGGCGCCTGGGTTTGTGTCGTAGCACCAGTTGGACAGGCGCCGAAACCGCCGCTGAAGTTGCACTCGGCCGAGACTCGGCCAAGAAGAGGGCGAAAGGAATAATCGTAGTCTTCATGATGTCGAGTTGTTGACTGAGCTGTTGACGAAAGCGAATCACAACGACAACCACGGTGATTCTAGAAGACAGGGCAGCACCAATACTCTTAACAACGTCCAAGAAATCATAGCGGAGTCCTGGCGTGACCTGTAGCAAGCGAATCATCTCGTTTCAGCCCCAAATGCCGGTCATCTCCCCGACGTGACATCATATCCAACAATTGGAGGAAGTTGGGATCCTGGAGAAATTCGGGCCCAGAATACTGGTGGTTGATCTACATAAGCTGAGACGAACCCATCATCTTGGCAACTCAGTAGATGCGTCGAGATGTCTGATTATGGCAACTGCCCAGGATGGCCGGTGGAAAGATCACAAATCATGAGTCTTACTGCCCGCTGCGTTCACGAACTTTAGGCCAATATCCTTGTCCACGAATTTGATTTGGTGCGATCGGTAGTATCTACGGAGAATTGGTGAGCAGTTGAAGGTCGTCGCCGGCACTACAGCGCCGAAGAGTCCCCGGTGTGGTCATGCGGGCAGCGGAAGAGCAGGATGGATCTACTGTACACAATCGGCATCAGATCCCAGTGTTTTAAGCGACTTAAACCGTCTAGCACTACTACCAAGATGTGCTCGGAGTTCATATCAATTATTGAGATCAACCCCAAAGATTCCCTAAAACCCATGGTCAGACTGCTATCAGGTAAGTTTTTGGGAATCGAGCATCGCTCACAGATAATGTCTCAGCTCTCTGCCAAAGTTTCTTCGCCTTTTGCGAAAAGCCTCCATTGGCCAACTGCAACTTCCTCTCTTGACTTTGTAAAACGTTGGTCTGGTGATGACTTAGTATTTCGTCAGTATGTGGGGTGCGCAACTGACATCTTCGATTGTCCCCTTCATGATATATCTTATGATCCTCACTTCCTGTTCCTGACCCAGCCGGCAGGCTCGGCCAATAGCCTGAAGCTCAATAGATGGATTCCATTGGGGCTCTAGGAGATAAATCCTGGATGCATTCGCCAAGTTCAATCTTGCTTCTCAGTCAACGTCTACATCTGGGTATGAATTGTGTGGAAAACTTACCCGACACCGCCTGTACCTAAAGTCATCAGAAGCACATTTGCTCCCAAGGGGGAATGAAAGTGTTTGAGTAGTTTCGCTCGCGCTGACATTGGTAAAGACCCATGAATACAGTAAGACTGAATTCCATTGGACGCAAGTAAGTCACTTGCGAGGTCAAGTGACTTTTTCCACGATGAGAATACAATACTGCGTGCTTTTTAACGACCGTCTGCTAATCCACAAACTGTTGGGTAGGGTTGTTTCTGTTACCTCTTTTTACTGTGACCATGGCTGTGATAGTCATGTTGCAGGTCATGCAAAAACGCTTGGAGCTTTGTTGAATAAACCGTGTGTACATCTGAGCCCGAAAGGTACTCTCCTTCTTGGGTCAAAATGCTATCCTGGTGGTTCGGCCTGTCTTCTTGCTTTTCAGATGAGCAATTTGGGCATTGGGATTTCCCTGCATGGTACTGCGGCATACAACCGCCACAAACCAAATGCACGCATCCTTTGATCTGAATGCCGCAGTCATTGTCTACGTTATTCTTCTTGACAATGCTGTATATATCCCGGTGGCAAAAGACGCAAACTGCGTCGTCAGTCTGCTGGAGATATGTAAGCAACTCGTACGGATCCATCGTTATCCCTCTGCTACTTGCGGACGGCATGAAAGTAGCTTTGCCGTTATTGCAAAATAACCGCAGTCGGAGAAGTAACTGCAGGGCTGCTGTGTTATGTTGAATTCTTCCACGCATGCTGACTGCTGTCTGGATCATCTGTCGGCTTTCTTCAATGATAGAATGGTATTGTTCACGTTCCACATCGGTGAGTTCAAGAACTCTGCTTTCCTCAACGGGTTCGGGAAGATTGATGACTTCTCTGGTTCTGCGCAAGCAAATGGAGGAGAGAAGGGTCTTCAACGCCTGGAAGCTTTCTCTAGACGACGACTTGCATGGGTTTGAGATAAAGTGCCTGAATGTTGCAGGGTTTTCGAAAGCCGGGACTCTGAGAAACGTCATGAGTGATCCAAGATCTTCCAAGCTGTTTTGAATGGGCGTTCCCGTGAGACACCATCGATGTTCTGCTCTGAGACCACTTAAGGCTTGGAACTGCTGCGTTGTTCGACTTCGAATGTCGTGCGCTACCCATACACGATAAGTCTTGCTTGAACGCCCACATACATGAGACATTGCTTAGGGGCCACATACCTTCATCCAAGATTATACGAAACCACTGAATCGCAGCCAGTGGGGAGGACTGCTGGCTAGTTTCAGCTGCGATGGTAGCATACGTTGAGAAAACAATGTGGGATTCAAGCAGTTCTTGCGGAGAATCTTTTCGCTTGTAACCATGGTATTTGTAAAATGTCAAATTACCGGGGTAGACGTGTCTTGAAGTTGTGTTAGAATCACTTCTGTCAAGTTCATACATAAGCAACACATTCTGAACGAAACGTACGTTCGAACTTCCGCGATCCAGTTGTTAATCAACACTGTGCCAGCCATCAGCACTCTAGTCCATATAAAGAAGTCTCAAATAACGCACAGGGGGATGGAACCACTACGAGCGTAGCGCCAGAGTGGGTTGCGTCCTTGAAGTTTGAGTCCGTCTTGGGCCACATCGCATGCTTCGCCGCTCGATCTAAGGAACCTGCTATGATCGAAAGCATTACTAGGGACTTCCCTAGACCCATCTCGTCGGCGATTATGCCACCTTTTGCTTCCTGTGGTAGTTCAGACTTAGATCCGGTGATGATATGCTGATAACTAGCAGTGAATTCTGTCATTTAACGGGTAATTACGGAACCTAGTGGAGAGGTGACATACTGCGAATCTTCTCCCATATCAATGTAACGCCACATGCGAAGGTTCTGGGGCAGTCCCCCTGTCTCGGTGCGAAGTACAAAGTCAATGGCGCTTTTTTGGTGTCTAAAATCGTATGAATAATGGTTGAAACTTCCACGGGGCTGCGCGCATTTGCATCAACTCACGGAAGAAGTTGACTTTTGATTCGTTCATTCGCCATTTGTTCGCGAAGAACCCCCTTGTGAGACAGGGAGTCGAGAATCCGGGATAGCTCTGCAGACATATTGACATTCGTTGAAGTCGTTTCTTCCGTGCTTTCTTTCGTGTCTGAGCCACCTAATGAGACATGTCCGTTATACAACATGTCTTCCTCGGAAGAACGACTGATTTCTAGGTAGTGCGGATTGTAGTACTTTGTTTCTTGAAGGTCAACGTTCGGCAGTTGAAGGGTAACGTTATACTTTGAAAGTGTTTCTCCGATGTTTTGGGCATCCACTTTCGGGCCGTAGATTATTAGCTCGATCTCCAATACTGGCGTTTCATACCCCCTTTTCCATTCTTGTAGGGCTGTCGTCCATTGTTGAAATGTGACAGTCGCTTGGCATCGTTGCATGTGAGCCCCTTTGAGCTTTGATATAAGCTCGCAAATCTTCTTAGACAGTATTCCAAGGAGTGTATCCTCGGAATACACGCCGAAATAGGAGCCGATAGCACGGACATCGAGGACAGCAGTTGAGTCTGGACGTAGTTGCCACGACTCTTCAGGGTTTCCTTGAAGCGAACTTTTAACCCCGATGATCTGTAGAATTTTAGTATATAACGGAATCCTCTGTCTGGTACGGAGGCGACGCACACTGCCAAAGCAGACATGTTGAACGGGGTCGTTCGCTGGGTTCATAAGCGCAGAAGTCCGCTGGTCTTCCACAGCACTGTTTTGCCATACTTTAGACTTTTGCCGAACGGCGCCTGAAGCAGTGTTTTCGGGCCAACAAGGGGCATATGAATAAGAATCGTTCTTAAATGTTGACCAAGTTCGTTTTGAAGCCATTTTGGTCCAGTTCAAGTGCAGAGGTGGCTTTCTTGGCCAGCCGAACGGTACGTGTGGCAGAGGGGTTGGGCACATCATATCGGACCTTTGAAGCGGGGTACTGATCAAGGCTAGCGAGGCCGTTTCTTTTTCTCTCCAGGCAACCGAAGGACGCCTTGTTCGCCTTGGGCGCCATCAGGCGACCCAGCACAATTAATCCCCACACAGCATGCCGTCCTATCACACCTGCAGGACTGAAAGTCGACTGCGGGAATATTAGGTTTATAATGCCCCGGACAAATTGTCGCAATTGACCGTTTCTCTTTCTTCCTTGGCCTGCCATGAGAAATGCACGCCTCAGCGACGTACCTCTAGAGGCTCCAGATGGCTAACGATACCACCACGCCGCCATTCAATGGGGCGACCAGCTCAGCACCAATCCCAAACCTATTTGACGAGGAACTTAAGTCATTCAAATCTCGACTTAAACCGCGAGAAACGGAGTATTTCAAGTTTTCAACAGAACATGAGTTCAAGAATGAAATCGATGCTCTTCAGACCAGACTCCACAAAGGAAGACGGCAACAAAACATGACGAAGCTAAAGGGATTCATAGAGGCTATGAATCAATTTGGAAAGGTTATTGATGTATTTTGTCAAACGTCAGAAGTTCTCGCTTTTCTTTGGGTAAGCAAAATGTCGTCCAGGCACTAATAATCATCATTGTGTGATCTCAGAGCGAACTCGACTGGTCGTAGCTAATTGTGTCGAAGGGGCCGTGGAAGCTTCTGCTCCTGATCGGCGATACATTTTCAAATGCATTCAGCGAGCTCTTGGATACGTACCAGCAGCTTGGTAAAACACTTCGTCTTCTTCCCCAAACTTCAGACCTCTTCCCAAATGACAAATGTATGGCTGAAGTTCTCGTCGATGTTTACAGAGATGTTCTGGATTTTCACTACGAGGCATTCAAGTACTTCCAACAACCAAGTAAGCCTATAGTTCTAGAAAACCGTGCATCGCCCAGCTGAGCCATGTCGTTCTGGATGAATTATGTCACAACTGACATTTATCAGTGCTGAAACAGATCTACCACGCGACGTGGAAAACGTACAAAACCAAATTCTCGGATTTGATTCACAACATAGACCAGCACAAGCTATTGATTCTTAGCGAAACAACTCTTGCGCAAGCAAGAAGATCACGAGAATTAGAGACGGAACGAAAAGTCCAGCAACGCAGCGACAGGGAATGTGATATGAGAGAGCGGATCATTGGATGGCTACAGGGAGCAGACTTAGGTGCGAACGTCAAGAACGACCATGCCAAGTTGCTCAAAATTCGATCTAGTGCACCAAGTTCGGGCAGATGGCTCCTATCCAAGCCGGAGTTTAACAGATGGTTTGGGCCGTTTCCAAGTATTCCGACTTTGCTCTGGATCAACGGCATCCCGGGCGCAGGAAAAACTGTCCTGGCCTCCATGGTCGTCGAAGAAGCGCGGGCTTTAAGCCATAAACCAACTGTTCTTTACTTTTATTGTAAGGCTGACAACTCGGAAAAAGATAATTTTGTCGCCATTGGGCGAAGGCTGCTTCTCCAGTTGTTGGAGCAGAATCCAGAGCTTTTGTATTATTTCAACGACAAATACTCAACACGCACCGAAGCCACTCTCAGCACGATCTCGGATCTAGAAGAATTACTTGAGACCGGTATCAAAAACACATCGAGTGTGTATATAATACTCGATGGCATTGACGAATGTCGACCAGAAGAGACAAAGGCCATCACTCGATGGTTTCGGAAACTAGTCGAAGATCAACCACAATCGAATCCGGATCAGATGCGCTGTATGTTCGTTAGTCAAGACGATAGAATCACTAGATCAGCCTTGGGTGACCTGTCGACCTTGAAAATACGGACCAGCGATACTCTGGACGATATTTCTCAGTTTTCAGCGCGCTGGGCGCTCGTAATACAAGAGAGGTTTAGACTACAAGACGAGGAGCGGGATTCAATCGCACAAAGAGTGCCAAATGTCTGTGGAGGTGTGTATGAAGATGGGCTTTTGTAGAAACTGCTGTTCTTCACATGCTGACCCGACAAAGGAATGTTTCTACTTGCGAAGTTGATTTGCGAAAATTTGTATGAGCAAGCCTCCCTTGACGATCTGTACGAGGAACTACAACCGAACACATTTCCACAAGCGATCGATGAAGCGTTGGTTTACCTGCTTTTTCTTGGAATTTGGTCACGTTTTACCTAACTGCATCAAGATACGGGCGCATCATGGTCAGGCTTTCTAGCCACGCACCCAGTAAAGGCAAAACAGATTACTGCCTTCTGCTACTTGGCTGGATTGTTTGTGCCAAGAGACCGTTGAAATGGTGCGAGATCCAGACTGCCAGATCAATCGACCTCGAGGCACAAGCTGTCAACCTAGATCGGTATTCTTTCCGGGATGGCCCGAAGGATATCTGCGGCTCACTTGTGGAGGAAGACGAAACTGGAACCGTCGAATTGGTCCATCTGACAGCCAAGCAGTAAGTCTCCATCCCTACTGGAAATCGTTGTGTCTCCATGAGGGGAAGTAGAGGCACTCTCTGACCCGCTACTTAAATGCCAGGTTTCTTACTCGGAAGGGATACGTGAATCCATCCAAAGAGGAAATCAAGTTCACAATTAAATGTGTGAACTATCTAAACCTGTCGGGATGTCAACTTCCGCTGGTCAATATCGATGGACTTACTTTACAAGGTCATTATAACTTTTTAGAGTACGCAGTCCTTCACTGGCCCCGACATCTCGAATCCGCATTGGAGTTCCTCCAGTATAATAGCACACTCGGAAACGAACTTGCCGAATCCTTGGATTGTCTCCTTGACCTTCACTTCACCAGCCCTACGGTAACTTCACTTTTTCTCAAAAGGCGCAGACGAAGGTGGCAGTTCTTCGAAAAATTCCCGTTCTTTGATCAGTTGTCGCAGGCGTTTCTGTCGACTCGGAAGCATTTGACGACATTTGAGGAGATGCATTCCGAAGAAACTGCTCTCGACCTATTTGATATTCTACAACAGGTCCGCCAGCGTATCGAGGTTCTGGCTTCGCACAACCCAACTTCAGAGACTGCTGCACTATTAGAGAAGTTCTTTGGCAAAAATATCTTCAAGTGCTCCAGACCGAGCTGTCACTTCTTCGAAATGGGATTCATGTCAAACCATTTGAGAAATCTCCATATGGAAAAGCACCTGAGACCTTTTGTCTGCATACTCGAGGGCTGCCCGACATCGGCTATCGGTGTGGCGACTGCTAGAGATCTCGAAATACATATGCGAAATACGCATGGTGTTGAAGACGACACTACTTCCATCTTGGATTTCCCAACTCAAGAGGAGCTCAGAAAGCCAATTCAAGTCTCAGAGGGGTCATCTTGGCCAGTTTCTCCCGTAGAGACGTCAACGTCAGAGTCAGGATCAGAGTCAGAATCAGAAAACACCGACCTGGCAACGATCAATATTGCCGTTCCGCCACCGAAGCAACAAGCCAGCGAACCTAAAGCCAAGAGGCAAAAATCAGAATACAAGTGCCCGATCTGTTCAAAGACGTTCACCAAACGATTCAACATGGAATCGCATGAGCGTTCACATTCTACCTATCGTCCATATGAGTGCGATTACATCGAGAGGGAAAGTGAGTGCAAGAAGACATTTGTTCGACTAAGCGATCTGACACGACATCGCAAGTCACATGGTGAAGGCAAGTATCATTGTAGGAGAGTCATGCCGGATGGTACTGCATGGGGCTGTGGAAGGAGCTTCTCGAGGGCAGATACATTGAAAAGCCACCTGGCTTCGCAACTTGGGGCTCAATGCCGCACATCACAGTTGGCAACTTGAGTTGCCGCAGCTTAAGGTAGTCTAGCTTTCACTCGTGAGACTTCACACCAATTCGACAAGACATTTACCTGAGATCTATGAGTGCTCCAGTCGGTACCGAGAAGAGATCGCAATGAGATCAATTGCATCAGCGTTGAGGGCCGGGAATTGCTATGCGATATCAATGATCCGAGCAAGCCTGGTATTCTGCATTTTGCGACCACGACGTTTTCAGAAACGGGGCGTCTGGTCAAGTTTGGATGATACACTACATGCGAGGCTGATCTGTCAAATCCCCCGCCGCTTCCCGCCCCTTTCCCTAAAAGCTGACAACATGTAAGTAGCTGACAATATCTAAGTAGCTGATAAATGTGCACAATACCTGGTTGGTGACATGGAGAATTCTAACACGCGTTGTCGTTGGTTGGGCTGCTCATAACCTAGGTACGACTCTAGTAGGCTGACTCGAATAACAGGCCAACTGGTTACCTGTCCCTTCTTCGTGCTTTCTAGGACCGCAATAGTCCGCATGGTTCGCGCATATGGGACGCCGTATTCAATACCACTAGCCCAGCGGGGTGGGTTGCCTAGCGTCCATCGGTTACCAATCACCATGGTCTGACTACTATGCAAGGCGTGTTCGGGGATACTGAATCTCCGATGAGTCAAATTGCTCTCGCTTAAGGCAGTGTGGAGCAAGCTTTGACGAATAAGAATAGGGATTTAATGTCAATTCCAGAATAATTTCTTTCGAAGTCCGGGTCCGCTTCCCAGCTTGGCGACTATGTGATGACTGCTGAGCCTTCCCCGCATGCTAAATCTCCCAAAAGCTAAACTTCTTTTGGCGCTTGCTCGCTCTTCAGGCTGTGTGGAGCAAGTTGTAGCGAATAAGAGTAGGGATTTTACGTCGGTTCCAGAATAATTTCTTTCGAAGTCCGGGTCCCTTTCCCAGCTTTTCCCACCCAGGGTGGCTCTGCTGAGCCTTCCCCACAAAGCTTGATTTTGACCAAGGTACAGGTTTAGACACAACCAAAGTAATGTGAAGACATCGCCTCTCTCCTTCTTTCCCGAAGTTGATTTGCGTCTTTCAGGTACCCATATGAGTACCTAGGTATTCGAGGGCCACAAAATCTAATTCGAGACCCTGCCCCCATAGGTTTCCCAACACACATCACCTACATTAAACATTGGATGATGGCAAATGTGCAGGCAAATGCTGAGACGCAAGTTGATATCAGCGGCATAAGCAAACTTGACATCATAATCTCCGTATTGGATGCAGAAAGCTACCATCCAACGGAATGCGCGTACACTATCCCATGTTCCAGCTAAGAAGCTGCTATGACTGTAGTTAGCAAGCTCTGATCTAAAGCAATTACCATGCAAAGGGTTTCAAGCCAGCCAGAGCGCTTCATTCTGCTGTGGCTGAAATCGTCAAGTAGTGAAGCATTACCGATATACTAGCGTTAGCAAAGTACTCGAAAGTTTCCGGAAACACAGTGTCAACCCTCCTGTTAAGTTGATCCTCGATAAAGCACGCGTACAGCTAACTTTGAATGACGCCGGCAAGAACTCTATTCCACTGTGGGACACAGGCATTGCGTAGAAATAAGTAAATCTCTGGTTGCAGCTATTTGAATTTCACTGCTCTGCCTCATCCGCCTCCCCAGCAAACCGGAACGTCAAGCCTCTGACCTCCTCAATAGAATCCGCCATCTCAATCAAGCATCTCGTAACCTCATACTTGTCCGTCTCATAAGTCCGAAGCGTTTCCTCTACCTCCCTGTTCATGACCTGAAAAGCTTTTCCCTTCACAGGCGGCGCCTTGGCGTCTAGCGCATCGACAAGCGCCTTGTACTTTCCACCCCATGTCTTTAAACTACCATTCTTGATTGATGCCTCGCGATAGTCTGGCTCCACGCCCAGTTGCTCCCGAAGGACGTCGGGGTCCGCAAGCGTTCCGTAGAAGAAGTACCATACCGGATACTCGTTCTGAGCAGGCAGGAGCCTCTTGTCGTCGTCGCCGGTGATGCGGTTCTGCGGGAGCGTCGCGTCGTATCCAAGAGTTGGGTAGATTGAGGTCTTCAGAAGGTCCTTGTCGGCCACGTTGTATCTGATGATGGTAGGTTGAAAACGAGCCTTGGCCTGGAGGAAGTGCTGCAAGATGTGGAACTTCGACTCCTCTCCAATTTTGCAGAACTTGGTGGTGTCTCCATCTTCGTCGGTCGCTGTGAATACCTCCTGTGGCATGGTAATACATCCCAAACGATGGACAATCTGGGGTGAATGAATCGGATTCTCGAGCTTGACGAGATACTTCGCTTTACCGAACTTTGGGTGCTGAGGGACGTGGTTGAGTATCTCAGGAGGGACCTCGAGGTCCATGTCGCGTTGGTGATGCGTGACATCGGCGGGGAGAGGTTCGGCATTCTCTGGCTCGTCCAGAACCAGGGAGGTCCTGGCCATCTCCTCCAGCTCGGCAAGAATATCTAAGTCGTCCATGATTTCGCGATGGGTGCCTACGCAAGGCGTTGTTGTGTTATTGTGAAAGTTGATTGCCTTCTGAGGCAGGAAAAAAAGCGCGAAGTTTCCAAATTACCAAAAGCTGCGTCAAGTGCTGGAGAAATCTTGAACAGGACATCTTTTCCAATGATAAAGGAGCGAGAGAGCGAACGGAGATACCTTGGGAGTGGCCAAGGTCTGGATTGAGCTCCTGAGTGAGTCAAGGTTGAGTCAAGAAGCGGGACCAAACCATCAGGGTGAGACCTCAAGTCCACATCAGTCGCAGAACCAGACAATTGTGAAGGACTCTTTCAATTGAGATACCATCAATGTTCCGAATCCGAAGTTCATCACTGGTATACCATGAAGAGTACCACAAGGAAACCTATCTTCACACTACATACCTAGGTAACGGCACTTGACAAAAGGGCTTTGCGAACCATAGTATTGTTGTATGTAACTGAAGTAAAGGTAATTTGTACATGAAATGTGAAGCAATCTTGAAAAGCTTCAATGAAAAGCTTATATGCTCTAACTAAGGTACTCTCCCACAAGAGCAAGGTTGATAATCGAGGCCAATCCATACAACGCCGCATCATTGGTAGAAACCCAAGCAGCCTCATCAATAGGAGTCAGAACTGCGCTACCGTTGAAGTGGACAGTGCTCCAAGGCGACGACTCCTTGAAACCGTCAGTGTTGAAGAACTCATTCCATGCGCGAGCAGCCAACGTCGCGTTGTCGTGGCGATGCGCAGCGTAAGCAGTGAGACGAGAGTGACCCTGCTTGAGGTTGAGGCTGCCGAAAGACTTGCCGTAGCGGGCCGTCTGCTCAGCTGCGCCGGCGCCGTAGTAGTACGAGTAGTCATACCAAGCAGCCTCGAAACCCTCGGGGACTTCCTCACCGGCATGCTCGATGAATTCGGCGACGACCTCGAGAAGACCGAAGACGGCGGACAGGTGGGAGACAGCGACAAGACCCTCGTTGTTGGGGTCCGCAGGGGGTGGACCGAGGGTGCCGTTGGCGATGCTGTACAGACCAGAGCCGGTGACGAAGCCGTTCTTGAGCTTGGCGATACTTGCGGCGGTGTTGACAAGCTTGGTGCGGGCTTCCTCCCAGCGAGGGCCACGACGCTCCCATTCAATGAGCCAACCGGCCGCAAGGGCGGACCA